AGGATGATGCAATGTCCAGCCATCAACACATTTGTGAAGGAATTTTTACTCCCCAAAAGAGCGCCCCCCCATGGTAGGAGAAAAAAGTCAATTTTTTCTTGTCCCCTTAAATAAAAATACACATTGTTGAGTGTCACGCCTGAACGCTTTGTCATATTGACACAAAAATTGACAATCATGTGTATCTCAATTAGATCTACGAAAAAGTCAAAGAGCGCGTATCTGTATAATGTACGGTTAAAGGGCTATTTTGCATTTTTTGCCGATTCGCACACATTGGAATGTGGCTATCTCCTCCTAAGGCTTTCGTCCCACCGATACCAAATTTGCTCAGGGCAATCTACACCCCATGCCCATTCAAAGTTGTAAAAATCATGACGCTGCACCCCACGGTTTACGTTCTAGGGGGCGCCAAAGATGACCCAAAAATCCACATTCTTAAAAGTCATTTTGGCCACTGCAGGAGTACAGAGTACTGCAGTTCTAGGGGGCGCCAAAGATGACCCAAAAATCCACATTCTTAAAAGTCTTTTTGGCCACTGCAGGAGTACAGAGTACTGCAGGATACACACACATATACACACACGCCAACATACACACACACACACACACACACACACACACACACACACACACACACACACACACACACACACACACACTCAGAGTCTGTTTTTTAGCACCTGCAAAAACATGCTGTTTACATATTTGACAAGAATGCAGAGGCTTCCTTTTGCCCCTGAAAAAAATCAAATTTCAAACACAACTTGACTGTTCATTTCTCCAAAAGACAACCATGAAGCTCCATTTCAAACCTGAAGCAGATAGTTGGTGCATGTGTACAGTAACCTGAGGGGAGTGAGGTGACTATTTCTGAGGAGAACATGAGCAGTGAAGATTCACCTTGGAGCTAGAACAGGGACGTGCACATGATTATACAGGGGCAGGGGCTCAAGTTTTTTCCAGTCATTTATACAATATGGAAATTAATGTGAAATTAAACCACAAATATGTGTGATGAACTGTTTTTAAAACTTAAACTTCAAATAAAAATTGTAAACTTCAAAACATATGCAAATTTTTAACAAAGAACATAGTGATTTACCTCTATTTACATCAAAATGCAGGCAATGGCCCAGGCGTTCTTTGTAAAATTATTTACAAAACACTGTATAGTCTCACAAATGTCACTTTTTATTTATGCCACTACAAAAAAACATGATGTAAATGATGCATGATGTAAAACATGATGTAAAAAACTTGTGTAGATCCTCCTCTATGTCAGTCCATGTGTAATTTTTCCATAATTCTTTGTTTTTTGCAGCATTTTTGTTAGTGTAACTGCAGATTGTGCTGACAGTGTCTATGGCACAAAAAAAAATAAAAATTAAAATGCCTCAACATGAACCCCTGGTGGTCTCTGAGGGTGAAACCTGCTAACTGCTGCAGCTCTGTCAGCTTCAGTCTCCCATGCAGAGCTCGGAGCGCATGTGTGGCTCTGCACCCTTAGCAGCGTTGCTAACTCCTCAGTAAGGAAAGCCTGCTTCATGTCAGAGTCTCTAAACTCCAGAAGAAGTCGATAAAAGTCACTTTCTTTCTAAAAAAAAGTCGTTAGGGGGTCTGAAAAGTCATTAAATCTAACAACAAAGTCGCTAGGTTTGCAACTACGTGTCCCAGACTGCATCCCTGCTGAGAGTCCCTCCCTCCCTTCTCATGTTGCAGGAAGAACGTAAGCGCACGCCCCTTGTCAATCAGTCACCATATAATTTTGGATTGGTTGTTGTGGTGAAGTTTTCCACCAATAGGAGAGATGTTGTGGTGTGTTTTTTTTTTCTTTTGGCAAGCCTTTTCCGCCTGTAAGACCTGTCGCTAATGTCTGCATGCTATGTTTTCCTGTCTCATACAGCGCGATCGAGCGCCGAACGTGATCAAAATAAGCAGAAAAAAAGTATCGCGGACATAATTTATCATAACTCTGGTTTTATTTGGCCTATCAACACAATTTAAAAACTGGTATATAGGTTGAGGTCCTCACTTTTGAGATAAGTTGAAACGGAGAGTCAACGAGGCTCCGTCTTGCAGCTACATCCGGTTAAATATGTCATGTGACTTGAACGCACACACAGACACACACACACACACACACACACACACACACACACACACACACACACACACACACACACACACACACACTCAGAGTCTGGTTTTTAGCACCTGCAAAAACATGCTATTTACATATTTGACAAGAATGCAGAGGCTCCTTTTGCCCCTGAAAAAAATCAAATTTCAAACACAACTTGACTGCTCATTTCTCCAAAAGACAACCATGAAGCTCCATCCAAACCTGAAGCAGGCAGTTGGTGCATGTGTACAGTAACCTGAGGGGAGTGAGGTGAGTGCTTCTGAGGAGAACATGAGCAGTGAAGATTCACCTTGGAGCTAGAACAGAGACATGCACATGATTATACAGGGGCAGGGGCTCAAGTTTTTTCCAGTCGTTTATACAATATGGAAATTAATGTGAAATTAAAACACAAAGTATTAATAGAAAGGTAATGACTGTCCTGTGTAGGTGACAGTGATATCCAATAGGCTAGGCACTCACGAGGCTGGCTGTGCAAGTGTAAGTGAAAGCAACACGCACTGGCAGGAAGAACAGCAAACGCCGATGAAGGAAAAGGGTCTTTGCAGTGATGGGCGTTACCAGAGAGGGCGATGGCCAGAGGACACAAATGGGACGGGGAGGCAGCACGTTGGGGGGGGGGACGCGACACGGCTCGGGCCCGCCAGTGCCCCAACGGGGTCCTAGTTAGGGCCCGAGCGTAGCTGCTAAGCAGCTGCGAGAGCCCTATTATTCCTGATGGATTCTTCTTTAGGGCCCGAGCGTAGCTGCTAAGCAGCTGCGAGAGCCCTCTTGTTCCTGATGGATTCTTCTTTCGTTATTTTTCCTCCGCTTTAAACTGGAAAATGGCCCACTTCCCACTGGCGAAAACTCAGGAAATTTGGCAGGACGACCGGGCCTGGTGAAAAATTTGATATTCTGAAGTCGCCCAAACAAAAAAATGAAAAATGGCTCCATAGCGCCCCCTATGGTGAAAACTCACCTGACGCCTGTACGCTTTGTCAAAATGACACAAAATTTGACACACATGTGTATCTCAATAAGATCTACAAAAAAGTCAGTGCGGGCGTATCTGTCAAATGTACGGTTAAAGGGCTATTTCGCATTTTTTGCCGATCCGCACACATTGAAATTTCGCTAACTCCTCCGAAGGCTTTCGTTCCACCGGCACCAAATTTGCTCAGGCCAATCTACACCCCATGGCCATTAAAAGTTGTACAAATCATGATGCTGCACCCCACGGTATACGTTCTAGGGGGCGCCAAAAATAACCCAAAAATCCACATTCTTAAAAGTCTTATAACTTTTTATTTTTGTCCTCACTTGCCTCCAAGTTTTCTAGGATGATGCCATGTCCAGCCATCAACACATTTGTGAAGGAGTTTTTACTCCCCAAAAGAGCGCCCCCACATGGCAGGAGAAAAAAGTCAAGTTTTTCTTGTCCCCTAACGTGAAAATACACATTGTTGAGTGTCACGCCTAAACGCTTTGTCATATTGACACAAAATTTGACAATCACGTGTATCTCAATAAGATCTACGAAAAAGTCAAAGAGCGCGTATCTGTATAATGTACGGTTAAAGGGCTATTTTGCATTTTTTGCAGATCCGCACACATTGGAATTTCGCTAACTCTCCGAAGGCTTTCGTTCCACCGGCACCAAATTTGCTCAGGCCAATCTACACCCCATGGCTATTAAAATTTGTTCAAATCATGACACTGCACCCCACGGTTTAGGTTCTAGGGGGCGCCAAAGATAACCCTAAAATCCACATATTTAGAAGTCTTATAACTTTTTATTTTTCTCCTCACTGGCCTCCAAGTTTTCTAGGATGATGCAATGTCCAGCCATCAACACATTTGTGAAGGAATTTTTACTCGCCAAAAGAGCGCCCCCCCATGGCAGGAGAAAAAAGTCCATTTTTTCTTGTCCCCTAAGGCGAAAATACACATTGTTGAATGTCACGCCTGTACGCTTCGTCATATTGACACAAAATTTGACAATTACGTGTATCTCAATAAGATCTACGAAAGAGTCAATGCGCGCGTATCAGTAAAATGTACGGTTAAAGGGCTATTTCGCATTTTTTGCCGTTTCGCACACATTGGAATGTGGCTAACTCCTCCGAAGGCTTTCGTCCCACTGACACCAAATTTGCTCAGGCCAATCTACACTCCATGGCCATTCAAAGTTGTAAAAATCATGACGCTGCACCCCACGGTCTACGTTCTAGGGGGCGCCAAAGAGGACCCAAATATCCACATTTTTAAAAGTCTTATAACTTTTTATTTTTGTCCTCACTGGCCTCCAAGTTTTCTAGGATGATGCAATGTCCAGCCATCAACACATTTGTGAAGGAATGTTTACTCCCCAAAAGAGCGCCCCCCCATGGCAGGAGAAAAAAGTCAATTTTTTCTTGTCCCCTAAGGTGAAAATACACATTGTTGAGTGTCATGCCTGTACGCTTTGTCAAAATAACACAAAATTCGACACACACGTGTATCTCAATAAGATCTACGAAAAAGTAAATGCAGGCGTATCTGTCAAATGTACGGTTAAAGGGCTATTTCGCATTTTTTGCCGATTCGCACACATTGGAATGTAGCTAACTCCTCCTAAGGCTTTCGCTCCACCGGCACCAAATTTGCTCAGGCCAATCTACACCCCATGGCCATTCAAAGTTGTAAAAATCATGACGCTGCACCCCACGGTTTAAGTTCTAGGGGGCGCCAAAGATGACCCAAATATCCATATTCTTAAAAGTGTTATAACATTTTATTTTTGTCCTCACTGGCCTCCATGTTTTCTAGGATGATGCAATGTCCAGCCATCAACACATTTGTGAAGGAGTTTTTTCTCGTTAAAAGAGCGCCCCCCCATGGCAGGAGAATAAAGTCAAGTTTTTCCTGTTCATCGTTCAATGGCTCAAACGCATCGCTCTCTCGGCAAAAGCGAAAGGAGGAGCAACTTGCCATTTGGATATATCTTAGCTGTGTTTGTGCCCTCACTCATGGTCCAGACTTTTTTCAAATAGGACATGGAGTTTTTCTGCAGCAAGCGTTTTGGTAGAAACTGCGCCTCCCATTCATTATAATGGTAAATGACCACAGACAAGTGCGCACACCATCTTTGGACCTTGAGTGTGACGCGATTGGGTGGGGGAGGCGGTCGCGCTGGGGGCGGCGCGACACGGCTCGGGCCCGCCAGTGCCCCACCGGGGCCCTAGTTCTTCTTCTTCTTATTATTATTTTTCTGCCCCTTTGAACTGGAAAATGGCCCACTTCCCACTGGTGAAAAGTCATGAAATTTGGCAGGACGACCGGGCCTGGTGAAAAATTCGATATTCTGAAGTCGCCCAAAAAATCAAATGCAAAATGGCTCCATAGCGCCCCCTAAGGTGAAAAATTCACATGATTGAGTGTCACGCCTGTACGCTTTGTCAAAATGACACAAAATTTGACACACACGTGTATCTCAATAAGATCTACAAAAAAGTCAGTGCGGGCGTATCTGTCAAATGTACGGTTAAAGGGCTATTTCGCATTTTTTGCCGATCCGCACACATTGGAATTTCGCTAACTCCTCCGAAGGCTTTCGTTCCACCGGCACCAAATTTGCTCAGGCCAATCTACACCCCATGGCCATTAAAAGTTGTACAAATCATGACGCTGCATCCCACGGTTTACGTTCTAGGGGGCGCCAAAGATAACCCAGAAATCCACATTCTTAAAAGTCGTAAAACTTTTTATTTTTGTCCTCACTGGCCTCCAAGTTTTCTAGGATGATGCAATGTCCAGCCATCAACACATTTGTGAAGGAATTTTTACTCGCCAAAAGAGCGCCCCCCCATGGCAGGAGAAAAAAGTCCATTTTTTCTTGTCTCCTAAGGCGAAAATTCACACTATTGACTGTCACGCCTTTACGCTTTGTCATATTGACACAAAAATTGACACACACATGTATCTCAATAAGATCTACAAAAAAGTCAGTGCGGGCGTATCTGTCAAATGTACGGTTAAAGGGCTATTTCGCATTTTTTGCCGATCCGCACACATTGGAATTTCGCTAACTCCTCCGAAGGCTTTCGTTCCAAAGGCACCACATTTGCTCAGGCCAATCTACACCCCATGGCCATTAAAAGTTGTACAAATCATGACACTGCACCCCACGGTTTACGTTCTAGGGGGCGCCAAAGATAACCCAAAAATCCACAGTCTTAAAAGTCTTATAACTTTTTATTTTTGTCCTCACTGGCCTCCAAGTTCTCTAGGATGATGCAATGTCCAGCCATCAACACATTTGTGAAGGAATTTTTACTCGCCAAAAGAGCGCCCCCCCCATGGCAGGAGAAAAAAGTCAATTTTTTCTTGTCTCCTAAGGCGAAAATACACATTGTTGACTGTCACGCCTTTACGCTTTGTCAAAATGACACAAAATTTGACACACACATGTATCTCAATAAGATCTACGAAAAAGTCAATGCGAGCGTATCTGTTCAATGTACGGTTAAAGGGCTATTTCGCATTTTTTGCTGATTCGCACACATTGGAATGTGGCTAACTCCTCCTAAATCTTTTGTCCCATCGGCTTCAAATTTGCTCAGGTCAATCTACACCCCATGGCCATTCAAAGTTGTACAAATCATGACGCTGCACCCCAAGTTTACGTTCTAGGGGGCGCCAAAGAGGACCCAAATATCCACATTTTTAAAAGTCTTATAACTTTTTATTTTTGTCCTCACTGGCCTCCAAGTTTTCTAGGATGATGCAATGTCCAGCCATCAACACATTTGTGAAGGAATTTTTTCTCCCCAAAAGAGCGCCCCCCCATGGCAGGAGAAAAAGTCAAGTTTTTCCTGCCCATCGCTCAATGGCTCAAACGCATCGCTCTCTCGGCAACACCGTAAGGAGGAGCAACTTGCCATTTGGATATATCCTAGCTGTGTTTGTGCCCTCACTCATGGTCCAGACTTTTTTCAAATAGGACATGTAGTTTGTCTGCAGCGACCGTTTTGGTAGAAACTGCGCCTCCCATTCATTATAATGGGAAATGACCACAGACAAGTGCGCACACCATCTTTGGACCTTGAGTGTGACGCGATCGGGGGGGGGGTAGGCGGTCGCGCTGGGGGCGGCGCGACGCGGCGCGACGCGGCTCGGGCCCGACAGTGCCCCACCGGGGCCCTAGTTATTATTTTTCCTCCCCTTTGAACTGGAAAATGGCCCACTTCCCACTGGCGAAAACTCATGAAATTTGGCAGGACGACCGGGCCTGGTGAAAAATTTGATATTCCTAAGTCGCCCAAACAAGAAAATGCAAAATGGCTCCATAGCGCCCCCTAAGGTGAAAATTCACACTATTGACTGTCACGCCTGTACGCTTTGTCAAAATGACACAAAAATTGACACACACATGTATCTCAATAAGATCTACAAAAAAGTCAGTGCGGGCGTATCTGTCAAATGTACGGTTAAAGGGTTATTTCGCATTTTTTGCCGATCCGCACACATTGGAATTTCGCTAACTCCTCCGAAGGCTTTCGTTCCACCGGCACCACATTTGCTCAGGCCAATCTACACCCCATGGCCATTAAAAGTTATTCAAATCATGACGCTGCACCCCACGGTTTAGGTTCTAGGGGGCGCCAAAGATAACCCTAAGATCCACATATTTAAAAGTCTTATAACTTTTTATTTTTGCCCTCACTGGCCTCCAAGTTTTCTAGGATGATGCAATGTCCAGCCATCAACACATTTGTGAAGGAATTTTTACTCCCCAAAAGAGCGCCCCCCCATGGCAGGAGAAAAAAGTCCATTTTTTCTTGTCCCCTAAGGTGAAAATACACATTGTTGAGTGTAACACCTGTACGCTTTGGCAAAATGACACAAAAATTGACACACACATGTATCTCAATAAGATCTACGAAAAAGTCAATGCGCACGTATCTGTCAAATGTACGGTTAAAGGGTTATTCTGCATTTTTTGCCGATCCGCACACATTGGAATTTCGCTAACTCCTCCGAAGGCTTTCATTCCACTGGTACCACATTTGCTCAGGCCAATCTACACCCCATGGCCATTAAAAGTTATTCAAATCATGACGCTGCACCCCACGGTTTAGGTTCTAGGGGGCGCCAAAGATAACCCTAAAATCCACATATTTAAAAGTCTTATAACTTTTTATTTTTGTCCTCACTGGCCTCCAAGTTTTCTAGGATGATGCAATGTCCAGCCATCAACACATTTGTGAAGGAATTTTTACTCCCCAAAAGAGCGCCCCCCCATGGCAGGAAAAAAAAGCCAATTTTTTCTTGTCCCCTAAGGTGGAAATTCACACTATTGACTGTCACGCCTGTACGCTTTATCATATTGACACAAAAATTGACACACATATGTATCTCAATAAGATCTACAAAAGAGTCGATTCGCGCGTATCTGTCAAATGTACGGTTAAAGGGCTATTTTGCATTTTTTGCCGATTCGCACACATTGGAATGTGGCTAACTCCTCCTAAGGCTTTCGTCCCACTGACACCAAATTTGCTCAGGCCAATCTACACCCCATGGCCATTCAAAGTTGTAAAAATCATGACGCTGCACCCCACGGTTTACGTTCTAGGGGGCGCCAAAGATGACCCAAAAATCCACATTCTTCAAAGAATCCACATCCCCCCCCCCCCCCCCATATGGCAGGAGAAAAAGTTAAGTTTTTCCTGCCCATCGCTCAATGGCTCAAACGCATCGCTCTCCAGGCAACACCGTAAGGAGGAGCAACCTGCCATTTCGATATATCATAGCTGTGTTTGTGCCCTCACTCATGGTCCAGACTTTTTTCAAATAGGACATGAAGTTTGTCTGCAGCGAGTGTTTTGGTAGAAACTGCGCCTCCCATTCATTATAATAGGAAATGACCACAGACAAGTGCGCACACCATCTTTGGATCTTGAGTGTGACGCGATCGGGAGGGGGAGGCGGTCGCACTGGGGGCGGCGCGACACGGCTCGGGCCCGACAGTGCCCCAACGGGGTCCTAGTTCATTAGGGCCCGAGCGTAGCTGCTAAGCAGCTGCGAGAGCCCTCTTGTTCCTGCATGTTTCCTTCTTTCGTTATTATTTTTCCTCCGCTTTAAACTGGAAAATGGCCCACTTCCCACTGGCGAAAACTCAGGAAATTTGGCAGGACGACCGGGCCTGGTGAAAAATTCGATATTCTGAAGTCGCTCAAACAATAAAATGCAAAATGGCTCCATAGCGCCCCCTAAGGTGAAAATTCACACCATTGACTGTCACGCCTGTACGCTTTGTCATATTGACACAAAATTTGACACACACATGTATCTCAATAAGATCTACAAAAAAGTCAGTGCGGGCATATCTGTCAAATGTACGGTTAAAGGGTTATTTCGCATTTTTTGCCGATCCGCACACATTGGAATTTCGCTAACTCCTCCGAAGGCTTTCGTTCCACCGGCACCACATTTGCTCAGGCCAATCTACACCCCATGGCCATTAAAAGTTGTACAAATCATGACGCTGCACCCCACAGTTTAGGTTCTAGGGGGCGCCAAAGATAACCCAAAAATCCACAGTCTTAAAAGTCTTATAACTTTTTATTTTTGTCCTCACTGGCCTCCAAGTTTTCTAGGATGATGCAATGTCCAGCCATCAACACATTTGTGAAAAAGAGCGCCCCCCATGGCCGGAGAAAAAGTCAAGTTGTTCCTGCCCATCGCTCAATGGCTTAAACGCATCGCTCTCTCGGCAAAACCGAAAGGAGGAGCAACTTGCCATTTGGATATATCTTAGCTGTGTTTGTGCCCTCACTCATGTTCCAGACTTTTTTCAAATAGGACATGGAGTTTGTCTGCAGTGAGCGTTTTGGTAGAAACTGCGCCTCCCATTCATTATAATGGTAAATGACCACAGACAAGTGCGCACACCATCTTTGGACCTTGAGTGTGACGCGATCGGGAGGGGGAGGAGGTTGCGCTGGGGGCAACCCCAAAAGAGCGCCCCCCCATGGCAGGAGAAAAAAGTCTTTTCTTGTCCCCTAAGGTGAAAAAACACATTGTTGACTGTCACGCCTATACGCTTTGTCAAAATGACACAAAATTTGACACACACGTGTATCTCAATAAGATCTACGAAAGAGTCAATGGGCACGTATCTGTAAAATGTACGGTTAGAGGGTTATTTCGCATTTTTTGCAGATCTGCACACATTGGAATTTCGCTAACTCCTCCTTAGGCTTTCGTCCCACCGACACCAAATTTGCTCAAGCCGATCTACATCCCATGGCCATTCAAAGTTGTAAAAATCATGACGCTGCACCCCACGGTTTACGTTCTAGGGGGCGCCAAAGATGACCCAAATATCCACATTCTTATAAGAATCCACCCCCCCACCCCCCCCCCCAAGGCAGGAGAAAAAGTCAAGTTTTTCCTGCCCATCGCTCAATGGCTCAAATGTATCGCTCTCTCGGCAAAACCGAAAGGAGGAGCAACTTGCCATTTGGATATATACTAGCTGTGTTTATGCCCTCACTCATGGTCCAGACTTTTTTCAAAAAGGACATGGAGTTTGTCTGCAGCGAGCGTTTTGGTAGAACCTGCGCCTCCCATTCATTATAATGGTAAATGACCACAGACAAGTGCGCACACCATCTTTGGACCTTGAGTGTGACGCGATCGGGAGGGGTAGGCGGTCGCACTGGGGGCGGCGCGACACGGCTCGGGCCCGCCAGTGCCCCACCGGGGCCCTAGTCTAAATTGCACCTGATGTCATTCAAAATTTTTAAAAGGGCTGTCTCGGGGCTGTGGTTTCTCCTAAAACCTGATAGGCACTTCTTTAAAATGCTCTTCGTATTTAAAAAATAATTTACTTGTTGAAGAAGATCAATTGTAAAAAGAAATCTGGGGTTATGTGTATTTTCAGTGATTAGTTTTTTGTAGTGGGAAGTTCTTGCCTGTTTGACTGTGCTATTGTAGGTTTTGAGGTGGTGTTTAAAAATTTCAAGGTGGACTGTTAATTTGGATTTCCTCCATCTCCTTTCAGCACTCCTGCATCTTCGTTTGAGCTCTTAATAGCTCTTAATATGTGCGTTTCTCCATGGGGGTCTTTTTTTTCTTGATTGTTTTGGTTAAAAGTGGAGCAACTGAGTCCAGTGTTGACCTTAGATTGTTGTTAAAATTGTCAATGATAAAATCACAGGGTGCTGGTAAAATTTGTGGAGAGGTGTTCTGTAGGATGTGAATAAAATATCCTACAGAACACCTGTATATGGCCGTGTCTCCTGATGATAGCGGGCCAATTGATGCCCTTTTAAACTGCATTTTAGACATCAAATCCTGGATGGCTGCCAACTTCCTGCAGCTCAACCAGGACAAAACAGAGGTCTTAGTCATTGGTCCTGAAGGCCTGAGAGAGACACTTTTATTAAAACTACAAGATTTTAAAGTATGAACATCTTTAAAAGACCTGGGTGTAATTTTCGACTCTGAGCTCAGTTTTATTTCCACACATCAAAAACATAGCAAAGGTAGTTTTTACCACCTTAAGAATATAGCCAGAGTCCACCCGTTTCTGTCTCAGGCCAGCACAGAGGTGCTGATGCAGCAATTCAGCTTTTGCAGAATTCAGCTGCAAGAGTGCTGACGAGGGTCAGAGGGCGGGAGCATATAACGCCAGTTTTAGCATCGCTGCATTGGCTCCCCGTCCGTTTCAGGATTGATTCTAAGGTTCTTTCATTAGTTTTTAGATGTATTAATGGTCTTGGCCCCTCCTATTTATGTGATTTACTTTTACCATATCAACCCTCACAGACCCTGAGGTCCTCCGGCACAGGCCTTTTAACCTTACCCAAAGTCAAAACAAAAACACACGGGGAGGCGGCGTTCAGTTTTTATGGTCCCCGGTTGTGGTACAGCCTGCCGGAGAGCCTCAGGGCTGCAGAGACTGTTGATATTTTTAAGAAGAGGCTCAAGACTTTCTTATAATCTGCTCTGGAGCAAGTTTGATGTTCCACGCAAGTTACCAGGGCAATGGACCCGGATAGAAAAAAATCCACTACAGACCCAAGAGTTATACAAAGTTTATATAGCTAAGATCAAATCCAGCTAAAGGTTCCCCTATTATGGCCTTTTTTAATCAAGTTTAAATCTGTCCCAGAGGTACCACAATAGGAAATTTGAAGTTTGTTGTCTAAAACACCAGTTTATTTGTGGATATAAGCCAGCCTGTACTGTGCATCATTAAGCATCTCAACAAAGCAACATCAGAGCTCTGAGTAAACGTGTCCCAAAACAGATGACAGAGACATCACAGATACAGTACTACAGCAAACTCAGACAACTGCATCTGTTACCTCCACGCACCCTCACAAACCAAAGGCCAAAGGATCCCCCCTGCAGCATGCTGAACAGGCTTTTTGAGGGCTCCTAAATGAGAAAATCTGGTCGGTAAGTCACCCACATAATGGTGCGGAACCAGCCCAGTCAGCAGGAGGTGATGCGGTGTAGTTCACACTGATGACAGTCCTTCCTGATCCAGTCTCTGTGGGGGTCTGGCCCACACACAGCTTTAGTGTAGACCAAGCAATTAGAAGGTAAACAATGAAGAAGCTCTCGCCCTCCCCAAGCAGCATGTTGTCCCACCACACACAGAAAGGACAACAACAAAGCCAAGTGATGAGCCACGTAAAGGCCTTGATGAGATAGCTGCTGCTGTAGATCATGACAGGTACCCAGTAAAACCCTGTTTTTCTTTCTCAGGAACAACATGCAATCCATAACACAGCCTTTCAGGAACCAATACATTTTGGGCAACTTCCAATAAAGCTTTCCATGCTAAAACCTAATCTGGATACATACTTCAGTGTGCAACTGACTGTATTTGGAAAAAAAAAATAGAGTTCCTTATTGCAGTAGGATTTTTTTTTTAATGTACAGCCACTGTACAGAAAAGCATTTGAGGAGTTTGTTGCTTTAAAGTTAATTTACAATGCTTGTCTCGTGTCTTACTGCTCTGCAGCTAAAAGAACAGAATAGTACAGTAAATGAACTTGCTGTTTTACAGCACATTAATGTGCTAAAAATGTCTAAATATAGCAAAACATTTATCCTGACAGTTGTGTTGTAAGTACAGTTTCTAAAAGTTAGTGAAATGACATGGTAGGGCTGAGGTTTAAGGCTAGCAGAGACATCTGCAGCAGGAATGGCGTACCAGCTTTCCTGCTCGAGGCTGAGCTAGCTAGGATTTTCTGTGAGTGAAACACAACACCTTTAATTCAGAAGACAAAGAAGAAAGAAAGAAAGAAAGTA